GAGGAGAGGATAAAATCATCTGTAGAGAGGCAGTGGAAAAGAAGGAAGAGGGCGACTAAAGAGTCAGAGCCTCACAGCAAGCCACAGAACAAGTCAGATGGCTGGAGAAGGGAGGACTTGGTCAGCGAATGCTGCAGGAAGAATTAAGGCTGTTCAGGACAAACTGGATTAATTTCTATTCAAATTGGTCTCTCTTCTACCCAACATCCCCTTCTCCCTCCTAACTCTAGAGCATGTCTTCTCCTTCAGACGGAGAAAGACTCTGGCCCAGGGCTGTGGCATCCCAGCCAGGCGGGCGGGCGGCTGGGTACCGCTGAGCTGGAGCAGCCATGCCACCCCCACGCACAGCCACCGGCAGGCAGCGAGCAAGGCCCGAGAGAGGAGCGGGGAATACAGGCTCTGGCTCACGCTGCCTGGCACTGTGCTCCCGCCACTCCAGGTCACCGCGGCAGATGCTGGGAGCATATGCCATGAATTAATTACGCTTTCCCTGAGACGCTCTGGCGAGAGGAACGATGAAGCCTTTCCAACTTATTAACATAGGAGCTCCCCCCCACCTCCTGTCACTTTGTCACACTTAATAAAATAGCCAGCCAGAGTCCCTTTAAGAGGTTCCTGATTGTCAGGCAGGCTCTTTAATGGAAAGTTGCTGGGTCTGGCTTTTCTTTAGCTTTTATTTTCTACCTTTTTTTCCAGTGCTGTGTATGCTGTCTCTGCCCCCCCAATATCCCCCCACCACCAACAAACTGTACTCTAGTAAAGCATCTCCATCAAAAAAGCCTATAAATATTGTATCTATTGTAAGCAAAACCAGAGATTCCTAAAACTGATAGGACCTAGAATTAATTTTTCCTTTGTCCACTTCTTTTACTTCGTCGGTGACGAGGCTCACCATTTACCTGAGCAGCCTATTGAGCCCTGGGCCTGCAACAGGCTATCTGCAGGTTGATATTTACACTCATCCAGAATCCCAGCAAGTCCCTGGGTAGACATCCCAGATCAGCTCACTGACAACACACACTTCGACAGTTTTGCATCTCTCCCTCAGCAGTGTATGAACAGAGCCTAAGAGCAAACGGGACACAAGATTGTCTATGCTGAATTGCCATCTTGAAATTGAAGATGGGAAACACTACCAGATATATGAAAGCCATGTTTCAATCAGGCACTTGAGGTTCCTCGTTCCTAACCCTGATTCTGACACAGATTTGCTGCGTGGTGCCAGGCACACCACCGCACCTTGCTTTACCTCTCTGTGATACTGGGCTGATCTGAGTTCTCAGGAGATGGGCGCACTGTTCTGAGAACTGCTCTCACTTCTCACCTCACCTCAGGATCAACCAGAGCTACACGTTTGCAGGCTACAAGAAAAAATTTACACTTGCCATTTCTTCCTTTGCAAGCTCTTCCCATGGGACTTTTCAGAAATGCAGGTACCTGAAGCAGCTTTGTCACAGCCAATACACACTGGTGCATCACCACGAGCCAAGAGCTGGCCTGGGCATGCAAAAGCACCTCATCATTTTTTAGCAAGGAAAGTAACAGAAGTAGGTTTTCTGACAGCACCAGGACCTGAGAGAGTAGAAGCAACAGGTCTCAGTCACCTTCTCAGAACCGCAACCAAAACATGACTGTGGAAGGAAGATGGGTGGGAACAGCTTGCTGGAGGAAGGCCAGGAGCCAGACACTCACCTCTTCTCCTCCAGCTGGGGAAGGAACTGAAAAGACATGGAAACAAGTCTCAGTCTATTAGGCTTATTGAAGGAAATTAAAGAGACAACCTGATCACAGTGCACATAAATACTGAAGCAAGGAGAAAACAACTGACAGCACAGCTTAATTGGGAAGGGGAAAGCATAAACAGGCTCTGGGAACAGAAGATGAAACTCAAAAACTGAGTCTAGAAAGAAAGCAGATTTTGAACCATAAGGGCAGTTATCTATTAGAAAAACTAACTTGTGAGGACTTTCAAATACACTGCCTGCCTTTCTAAAAGACAGGCAAAGCTCAGCCACATCTTACTGGACCCTGCCATAGCCTGTATTATAGCAGGTCAGACTAAATGATCAAAGACACCAATTCCCACCTTTACATGAGACTGTGATTTTTTTCAAGCCCAACTCTGACCAGTTATTTGCTGGACTCCCGTGGTCTCCCACCCCAGAGTATCCGTGCCCAGGGTGCCAAGCCAGAAGCAGGTAGCCAACAGCACCCAGCCCCAAGCACACTCTTCTGGGAGATTTTATGCTGCTTTAGAGCAGCTCCTCCAGCATAACTTGACCACAGCTCATCAGCAAAGGCCTAATTCAACGCCCATGATGCTTTTCTTGTGCTCTGTTCTTTCCTGGCTCTCCATCAGCACCTGCTCTGGCCTCACTCCCCTCCAAATTTTACACATGCTCTGTTCCCAAATCATTCAACCTCCTTGCTCCTCTTCCCCCTACCCTGCCTCTCCTACAAACCCTGCTCTTGCTCCTGGCCCCCTCCTCCCCACGCCCTGCCTCAAATGGCCCTCCCCAAGCCCCCACCCATTCCTAACTCTCACCATCTCCAGGAGGATCTCCAGGGTCCGATGTCCCTCCTGCTCTTGTTTTAAGGGTTGCTTTCATCTTCCTCTTGACTCCGGAAGCGCTCCCAAGGGCTGAGCACCACTGCACAGCCCAGCTCCACTTCTCATTCCTCCCTGCTGGGAGAGCAGCCAGGCAGGAGTGCTCTGCCCACCCAGGATGATCATGGCAGCTCTTGAAGGCAGAAGATGGCTCTGCAAGACTTCCTGGAGACAGCCCAGGGTTGCTGGTGCAGTGCATGGCTGCCAGAGGAGCAATAGGCTTGGCATGACTCCTGCACAGAGCACTCAGTAGCTACAGTCCTAACTACTGCCTTGTTATCCACTTTTAATGCTCCCAAGTGGCCAGCAATGCCACCTCCCCAAGCCCCTAAAGAAAGCACAACACATACCACACACCATACCTCAGAGGCTGGGCAACCAGAAACACTGGTTTCATAGTTCACCAACTCTTGTGCCCTCAGGCCTGTGCATTTTCAGCTTTTGTGGTCATTGAAAACTGTCTGATTCACACTGAGTGACTGCGTGGTTTCCTGAGGTGACCCAAAAGTGCAAGGCCTCCTATGCTCTGTGACACTAACAGAAGGGAGAAAGGTGGGCTCACCTCGCAGCCTCCCTTTCTCTCTGCTCATGTTGTTTTCCTGCCCTTCTCCTCAACAAGCTGGAGGCAAGTGCAGCATCCTAGTAGGGAGACAGTTACTTCACTGGTCAGGACATGGTGCAGAGACTCAAGTTTCAGTGGAGGTATGGGTAGTCTGGTTTGGGCTGCTCCTGCAACCACTAAAGTTTATCCTCTCGTTCTCAGGGCACAGCAAGTTATGTTTGTTTCATTTTTCAAAGAGGCTAAAGTCTCACTAGAAGCAGATACCACTGAATAAGGTGATACCAGGCAAGCAGCTTACAGGAGCAGTGTGGATTAGAACCTCAGATCAAGTTAGAAGGGAGAGAACCCATACTAGATGGTCCTACAGTTTGAAATTGGGAGTGCCTCTGCTTTCTCTGTGATCTTTGAGAGATGAACTGAGCAAATCCATGTCCCACCACTCCTCCCTTTACCATTCTCTTCCTCTCAGACTGGCTTGTTGGGTTGGTCTGATTTAGTAACCTACTTTAGTTTGCTGAATTTAATTATTATTTTTTTTCCTGGAATGTAGGAAGCATTCTAAGTTCTCTCTGGCAAAGAATCATAGATGTCACAGAAAAACAGATGTTAGCTCAGCTGGGAAGTTTCAGTTCATACAAAAACAAGTTTCTCTGCTCAGATAAAGACTTTGGGATTATCCTTCATACACTGGCCTCCCAAGCTTCTGTCTTACCTAATTTTCTAGTTACAGGTGAGATTTCTTGGTTGTAAAAAACTTAGCGTCTCCTTGAGACAGATGAGCCTCCCCTCATTTCGGTGGTCTCAGATTGGGACCCAGTTGCTTCTCTCTTGGTGGTAGAATTGTTTGGCCTATCAACTCTGATCTGAAATTTTGCAGAGTACGGAATTCAGTGAGTTATTTGATCTGTCCTGCTGTCAGTACAAGAGTGGGAATGCTGTGCTGTATTAGACCAACGAACCAAACAAAGAAAGCCGCATAGCAAGCCCTCCTCTTAGCACCTGCACTGCCCCCCAGAAGTATATAGCAAGATTCTCCAGTGGGACAAGGCTTTGAAGGACATTGGCTTTGAAGTAATGTTACTGTTTCCTGCAAATAATGACCACGGTTCTATGGGGACAGGGCATTAACAGCTAAATGCATTTTTCTTTAGATGACAACAAGAGTGGGTTACCTGGTTCCAAGGAGACACCCACCAGGGAGTTATTCTGTTTCAGAGCAGCAGGCTCCATTCTTTCACATGTGTGGAATAAACAGTATTTTCTTTGCAAACTACCTATTGCCTGAAGCTATCTCCATTCAGGCTGTGATCTCATCTGATTGCAAAAGCAAGTGGGATTAGGCCTGGTTAGAACTTATCTGGGACACCTCAAGGGAAAAAAAAGGTGCTGTAAGAAGTGGTGTTGGCTATTTAATAGGTGATGCTGCTTCCTCTGAGTCAATACAGAGGTAGTATTCCAGCAAAGAAGTTAAACTAGCAGAGGATGGCTGGAGGCTGCTGGATGAAATGTGAAACGGGTATCCTGACAACTTCTGGCATCTGTTGTGAGGAAGACATCAATCTTGATGTCCTAAGCAAACAAGTTCTATCCACTTAAGCTTCTCTCATAGCCATCAGTGAAAACCACGGTCCATTGTAAGATGGTCCACCCCACAGAGGCTGCGTTTCAGTAGAGGAAAAATTGACTGTTGCAGTTATCTGTAAAGGCGCTAGTGGGGTGGAAGGGTCTGTTCATAAGTAAATATTTTATGGCGTTTAGAGTTCTTAACCTCTTTTGAGAACAAAGATTTTTGTTACAAAATACCCAAAACTTCTCCCAAGCCGGTTTTCCTATAAAGCAAGGTCCTATTTATTTTCATGTCTGAAATAAATTCCCAAATACAAACAAATGAATAGAAAATTATAAAGTGCTAAACTATTTACAGGGGATGCATGTATGAGATGTCTGATGTGCCAGTGCTCTAGGACAGGCTGAGGTGGTCCTCTCTCTCAGACTGTCCCAGGTCCCACTCAGTCACTAGTTCTGAGGATACCTCTGTGAAGAGACGGTCCCAATCCCAGCTGACATCATCCTACCAAGAAGAAAAAGACAAACATGCTGAATGTTACTGGTGACACCCAAAGGTCTCTGGACAATGCCAAATATTCAAGATGAACAGCAAAGAGAGAAACTAAGTGGCAACTGCCCCTGCCCGGGAAGTCCCAGATTCAGTTGGCTAGAAAAAGAATCCTAGCCAGAATGAAATGTGAATCCCTGCTGCAATTTAAAGATTTTGACAGAATTATTCATGTTCCAAAATTCCGTAAAGGCCAGATTTTGTCACACTTGTTAATCTTAGATACTCCCAGGCCGGGCATAAAGAGAAGCCATAAAAATCTTCCACCCTTCTGCACTTCATCTGCAATTCTGAGACACAGAAATCCTTTGTTGCAAGTCCTGAGCTTCAGTCCCCCCAGTTGTATTGATGTTGTTCTGTCCTGCTTTAACACATCCCTCTGCCTAAACCCCAAATGCTTTCTGCCTTTGTCCTTCTGTACTGCACTGCACAACTATCTGGAGCTCATGGTGGCCGCCAAAAGACAATACACGGAGCACTGTTTCTGCAGGGATCTCTGAGAGTGCTAGGCCCATCACATTTTCCTCACTAGCTCTTTCATACTGAAGGGGACAAATCACAGTGATGCCATAATCTCAAACAGAGAAAGCCCTATATATATATATACTTAAAATAATCTGTTGGGGACTTCAGACCTCCATCCTCTTGGACAAGCTCCTCTTCAGAGGCTCCTCCTCATCTCTCTCTTCCACCCCACTAACAAAGGCTTACTTTCCAAGTATAGTCTGAGACACATAAGAAGCTTTTGCCTTGTTGGTGTTCCCACAAAAGAAAGACTCACCTCTCGTAGTTCATGCTCTGGAGCCAAAACTTTGGTGAGAAGCTTCAGGTCAACCTCTCCATCCTACGAACATACACAGTCAGTCTTACAGACAGTGAGAAAGTGGACACCTTCATTTCACCAGGTAGGTCTTGCTAGAGATAGGCACAACTTTTTCCTCATAAGGGGCACGTACTTTACTTTGTCCAGGACAACAGCAGGAGCTTCATGTGAGCACCAGATACCCCCACTATTTACAGAGACAAACAAGTGCGAAAGCCACACTGCAGAGAGGAACAGACTGAAAGCAGACTGGAAGTTGTTTGGATGATAGGGGAGCGTATTTTACACAGCTGAGTATCACTGTAGAGATTGATGGGAGTCTGGAAGGAGAGGGAGTCACACTGGTCACCCCATAGCAACATCCACTTACCAGAGTCTGAAAGGCAGCATACTTCATAAGGTCTTTGTCCAGGTCATGGTAGGTCAGTACTCGGTTCACCTGCACACTGCAACCAGAAAGGGTGAAAGAAAAGTCTGTGTAAGTGTGGAAGCACACTTGAGGAGAAGTGTGTCATGAACAGGAATCCAGTGACATCCATCTCAAGTGTCCACATCACTTATGTGAACTCTCAAGATGGGTGTCCCCAGACAGAAGCAAATCTTGTTCAGCAAATGAACAGTCCTTGACAAATCTGCATGCCAGGTTGTGCACGTGCATAAAAATAGGATGTCGAGTGACCACAGACTCCCTCAGAGAAGCCAGCACACCAGAGAGAATATCCACAGACTAGCTACAAGGGCCAGAAAGGAAACAGGAATGTAGTGAACACTGGAACAGCCCAGCAGGCTCTCAAAGTCCCACTATACCAGCTACAGAATAGTACAGACCTTGTGATTTCCATGTCTGAGCTGAGTCACAGCTATCAAACACAATTTTTTAAAATGTAGCCTCCAAAAAGAAACACAGGGTAGGGGGGTTATACACTGTTGTACTAGGCTTCCCTTCGCAGACGATGCAATACTATAGAGAAGACCTATATTAATTTAATTTCTGTTTGTTTTTGTCCATGAAAATTACTTGAATTTTCTATTGCAGGGAGACTATATGGATGCAGGAGGAACAGATGGAATTACAAAAAAAGAGAGAAAAAAAAAGACTTTGGTGAGAGACAAAGTAATTTTAAATTTTCTACTATAAAATGTCATTTATATTTGTTAGCAGCTATTTAATTACAATACCTACTCCAGACTTGTGCAAGAGGCACCTGTGGTCAGGAGTAAGATATCCCACCCCACCAAATAAGGGTCAATAGAAATCCCAGTCTGTGATCTGGGCAATAGGACTGACAGTGGAAAGAAGACTCTACTAACACACTTAAGATAAAACCCCCAAAACTTTCATTATTTAACACTTGATGGTCTCCTTTGAGCTAACCCCAAGACTACTGTGATAAAACCTTCAAACAACAGGATTGTACTTTGCAAATTAACTAGGCACTTGAGTAAGAAGGATATCCTGTGGAGGGCAAAGCAACCTACAACTATGCATAATCAAAGTGTGTGTGATAATACATGTGTGCAGGAGGCATTTGAGGTTATACAGGCAACATTAAATCAAGCAATTCCTAACTTTTGTGAGTTTGATTTTGCAACATCAAACAGGCTACTCTAATGTAGTTTTTGTATATATAGAGAGAATATGCAGTAATTGTTTTCTCTGTGTAATAGGAAACAAGAAGTTTGTACTGTTTGGCTTGGAGCCCCACTGCCACACTACACAGCATCGAATCCTGCCGAGTGGCACTACCACTGACGTCCAGAGAGCATGAGAGAAGATGGAGTTTCATTTCAGCAGCCATTTTGCACTGCTGATGAGAACCTCAGGAATACCTGGCGGGGCTCTTACCTGGGGGGAGCTGCCACTTGCATGGTAAAATCTTCCTCCTGGACCTCCTCCAAGTCAGGGATCACGGGAATGTCTGCAACAAGAGAAAGCAGCAGCAGTAAGTGGAGAGTGTTATGCTTGCCTCTCACTAGAGACAAGATAAGAAACAGCTTGCTTCACAGATAAGAAACAGCCTTTTTCTTATTAGAGGAAAGCACAAGAGAGTTACTTAGCAATGATTAAAAATATATTGTTTAATATTAAAAAAAGGCAATAAAGTTTTGAAGCTTGGGGTCAAAAGAAATCTTGGAAAAGGAGCAGATTTGGGCTGGGTAGGACTCCATAGCCATGGACCATGCATTTGAACACAACCTTGAAGCTGAAAGAAGCTGGCTGCACTAAATCCCACTGCCTACTTGCCATCATTGTAAGACTGGCAAACATTTCTTACCAGATGCATTATAATTTGCTCAGCTCAGCAACCAGTCACCTAGCCTCTATTAGAAATGGAATGTGGGGCATAAACTGAGAGAAGCCATGTAAAACTACATGCTGAAAGAGCTGCTGGCTGATGGTCTCAGACTGTGCAGAGACCTGTGACCTTCCTGACAGCTGAGGAAGGAAGTACTGGTGGTCTGGCAGATACAAAGACTAGGGAAGACGCATGTAATTGTCATAAACTTTTTCATTATTTCCATTGTGACCCTGAAATGGCTGATGTCTGGGTCACTGGATATTCCCAGCACAAGGACTACAGGTCCTCCACCTAAAAAGGATGCTAGAGACAAAAGAATGGAGGAGAGGAGGAAGAACTGGGTGCGCACTGAATCCTGCTAAAGGAGGAAGGCTCTGAGAACATTGCATGCTTTTTCACTTGACAGTCCTGTAAACAGCTGGAGATTGAAAGAGCAAAAATGGAGAGAGGAGAAGGCACAAAGCAAGGACAGAGTACAGCAGCAGAGCTCCTTTAAAGATTCAAGGCCACAAAGGCTCTCCAGAGACCCAGAGCACACAAACCGTGGAAAAGCTGGTGGTTCGGCTCCGGGAAAAGGTTTCACTCACACAGTGTGCAGACGCTGGAGCGAGCAGGCTGCTCCCGGCTCTGTCTACAGTGCAGCCATGCTACTGCTGGACGGCAGCAGGCGGCTGGGCCTGGCTTTGCCCCATTTTGCAGCCCACGCTGAGATGAATATTCAGGAGTTGGAGAGATGTTCCCACCTGTGGCACCCAGGGCTCTGGGCAGGGCCTTTCTGAAAAGGCCTTTCTCCGGCTGCCTGTCAGCTTCGCAGGCTTTGAGCTGCTCTCTCCGGCTGAGCGTCCACTGCGCATCCCCCCGGCCGGCGGGGCAGGAGCCAGCCCTCGCCCAGCTGCGGCAGGGCACGGGTCAGCCCAGGCCTTGGCGCAGTGGCTGTTCGGAGCTGGCCGCACAGTGGGATTTCTCACTAATTGGCTGCCTGGAGGAAGGCTGAGTGGGACAGGGGCTGCTGCAAGAGCCTGGACACAGCGAAAGGCAGTGACAGCTTGGCCAGCCTCAGCAGAGCTGTGCCTCCCAGCTCCCCAGCAGCCCAAGGAGCAGGTGCCTGCAGAGCAGCTCTCCACTACAGCAAACTGCCCAAAGACATTTAAAGGGAAACTGCAGCAACAGGCCCCCAGGCTGCCCCTTAGACAGGAGACACATGCAAGGAAAGCCTCACCACTGCATCGCTGGGCATTTGGGGCAAACCTCTCCCCTCTGCTGGTAGGGCCAATACACAGAAGAAGCTGCTATCCCATTGGCTCTTCCCTGCAGGGGCTCCCATCTCTTGGTAAAACTTGTAGCAAAATGCAGTTAGGAGACAAAAGCACCTCCATAGACAGAGGGACTGACCTGTAGAGGCAGATGGTAAAACCTGCTCAATGATAATGTGGGATAAAGTCTTTGTATACAAGCAACAAAGACCAAGGAGGTAACAGGCTGGTGAGTTTGGTCCAAGGGGAGTAATGAAGCACTGTGCAGAGATGCCCTGTTAAGTCCAGGCAAATGAGAACGGGAATGAGAAACAGTCTAATCTCTCCTGAGTTTTTTTAGGAGACTATGAACGTTGCTCAGCAAACATAACTAAATTAAGAACTACCTGGGAACAGAGATGCCCTCACCCATGGAGCAGCATTTCCTGCAGCAGGAGGAGGTCAGATCCTTATCCTCCTTTGACAGCAGACATGTGGAAGGTGTTTGCAGAAAACTGAATTTCTTCACTCAGTCCTCATTTTGGCAGCTATTTATGGGGTCCCCTCTTCCTAGTTCCCTTTTACTTCTGATGATCTCTTTTTGCATTAGAAAAAACTGCAAACTTAGGGCCTAGATCAGTGATGTCCCTTCCGTTTTGCAGGTTCCTGAAGACTCCTGGATTCTCCAGTGCTGATTTTATCTCATTCCCTTTGAATTCCATGGAGAGATTCCCAAACCCCTTGCAAAGCGCTACCTTTAGTCTGTATTAGCAAAATCCAGGCAATCACATAGAAATTCTTTCCAAAAGAAAGTCAAGGCTCCCATATGTTATAGACTCTGAAAATATTTCAGACAGAAGAGCTGGGAACACTCTGAGGGCTCCTGCCAGCCCCTCCAACAAAGGCCAGTGCATGCTTGTTCTTACTGCAAAGTGTGGATGATTTGTCCATTTCTAGGCAGAAGCAATGCCCTTTAGGACTCTGAGAGACTTGACAGTAAACAGAACAAAAATGTTGCAAATTCTAAGAAAATATCATCTCCCCAGGCTAACTGCTATCAGTGGCAAATCAGCCCTGAAATATTTGGGTCTTTATTTTTTTTTTCACTTGTTACTCATAATTTCCTCTTCCCTCTGCCAATTCCCGTGGTGCCACCTCTCCACAATCCCTCTCCCTTCTTTCTCTGTACAGTTTTCAAAGTGTCTCAGTTCTCACTTTATCACCAACGAGCCAACCTTTCCTCTCACTCAGTCTCCAGCCCCCTAACTGTTTTTGTTCCTCTTCTTAGGACTCACATGCTTTTTTCCAGTAAGCTCTGGAACACAGCCAAGTCACGGCACTACGTCAACTGCATGGGGAAGAAGCACATGGCCTATTGTGCCGCAAGAGTATAGGCATACCCTCTACTTTTTACATTCCCGTTAGCTGCAGTGAGGCTACTTACATATAACATTAGTATATGCAGAAATGGACCATGTCCTCCCAGTTTCGCACTGCAGGTTTTTCCAATGAGAAGGTTACATTACAAACCCCTACTCTGTGTGCTTTGCTCTGTGACCCGCATTTTTCCCCTTCAGTTCAGTGTGAGGGCTTCAGATCATTTTCCAGAAGCCTGTGGTTTTGGTGCAGAGTCTTGACACATACCTTACTGTCCAGGCTCTCACACCTGAATTCAGTGCCCGTGTAGGTAAACCTTAGAAATGACTGCACAATGTACCTACGTGCTAAGGAGCTGCCTGTGTGCAAAAGGAAACACCTCCACAGATAACAGGTCACTGCAACGAAGTGAACATTGTGCATTATGAAAACAAAATGGTTTGCAGCTGAGAAGAAAGGGTAGCTTCAAAACCTGGAAACAAAAAGTGATTCTCTGCAGTTTGGCGAGGAGGTGTGCCGCATAACTCAGCTGCATTCTGGAGGAGAAAGCAGCTTCCATAGCCTTTAATATCAACTGATTTTAATCAAAACTGTAGGCAAATCTCACAAGCACCATGAAAATCTTACAGCTTCAGATGTTCTTCTCCCACTTTCACATCCTTTCCTGCAGACTTTGAAATCAGAACAAACTGCTACGATACTAATAGTAAGAAACATTAAAATCAAAGTTGAGTTACTGGTAAAAAATATTAAATATTAAAATGGGGAACAAATTGAGTATAAACCATATTACCAACGCCAGTCTCCCAGCTGGCCTCTGAACACTGTGCTGCAAGGTACTGTTACCTATGCCACCTACCTCAACCAGTCTTTCCCAGACAGAACTCTGAATCTCCATTTCATAAGGCAGGTAACATTCTCAGAGTGAATGCTCCTAAAAATGACACTCACGCCCCCTGAGAGTAAGTATCCCGCTTTCATTTTAGCTAAAGGGAGGGGAGAATAAGTAGACACATATATCAGGTAGTGTTTTACAAGCAGAAGAAATGAATGTATGCAACAGAAAATGGAGGGGGGAACATAAAAACTCAGTGCATACAGTGACCTTAAAGAGGCATGGATGAGGCTTCTCTTTATGGCTCAAAATTACTGGGAACAGAGTAACACAAAGCCATTCCCCATGGCTTTCTCAGCTCATAAAGAAACAAGATATTGGCTTTGGAAACTGCTCATGGTAGAGATGTGAAATGCTGAGTGAGCATCAAATGCTAGATGATGAACACAAACTCCCCTCCATCTCCAAGCCGATGGTGATTAAGAGTCAACAAAGAATGAAACCAAAATGAGTGTATCGCTGCAGAAGTTATGGTGGGGTAGGAGACACCAGTATGAAATGTTGGCTCACAGGGGAGTTACAATATACTGTACCAAACTGATTGTCTCAGAACATCTAAGTCCCAGCATGTAAGTAGGAATAATATTTTTACTACAATAGCTGGACTGAGCTAGGTCTTACTCAAAAAGAGCTTCATGGCTAAGTTATGGTAACACACCAATAGCATAAGACCGAAGCATGTGGAGGGTAGGAAGAAAAGATGGAGGGGAAAGACTGAGGGTGACCCATGCTACATGCAGATAGCCGAACAGTAAGGAAGGAACAGCAGCTTTTTAAGCCATAAACAAAGGAGGGCTTTAGGTGTTCATATTAGAGCACATGCAGTAACCATCACCTTTTTTACCTTTTAGCAAATAACTTACTGACAGCTGAGAAGGACAACCATGGAAAACAACAAGGTAGAAGAACCTGCACCACCTAAACACTCAATTGCTCCTGCAAGTTGGTGAGTTGTACTTCCCCTCCCAGGCAGGGCTGATTTTTGGTTTAGTAGCAACACCTGCAAGCTGAGTTCCTCAAAATCCTGCAAGCTCACAGAAAGATCTGGTCCTAGACCCAAAGAACTAAATTCTCCATTAAAGACAAGACAGCAAATAACAGACAGAATCTGTTCA